GTGACAAACTTTTACTCACATTAACCCTATATATATATATATATATATATATATATATATATATATATATATATAAAATCAATTCACCCCAAGCAAGGCAACAATACCACTAGAATACAAGGGGCTACTGGGAGTGAAATAGATGAAATAATTTTAGAAGGAATGAGAAACACAGAGATGTTAGAGTTGAAGTAGACTTTAAAAGGAACCAAAAACCCAATCCTAAACAAGAAACAAGGCAATCCTAAACAAGAAACAAGGGATAAACCTCTATTCCTGTTCAAAAGACCAGGAAGGAATGTGAACTACATGATAGGCAAACCTATCTACTCCTATTGGAGAGAAAAAAATAATTAGTAAATAAAATTTCAGAGTTCAGATTAAGATATTAGAAGTATAGAGTTGTAGTAGACTTTAGACGGAACAAGAAATAAGAAATAAACCTTTACTCATCATGGAATCCTTAAAAAAAACAAAAGAAAACAGGCCAAAGCCAGTGAAAAAAAACAAAAAATAAGTACCATTAAAGAGCCTACCTCAACTTAATAAGATAGAAAATGTTCAATAATCCAGAAACTTCTGTTTACAAAGAATAGAACTTGAATCCAATCCAAAAATGTCAGAGACCTAAAACTTCACGAAAAACATCTTACAATCAAGTTAACTCACCAGTAAGACTTTATTTCACTTTTCTTTTCTATATTTCCTATTATGTATACAGTTTGCTATATGGAAAAATTATTGTCAACTGATAGATTCTGTAAATATGTAGATAAAATGTTTTCTCTCAAATGTTATACAGATGTATTTAAATGCTACCATATCGCAGATATGATAATGCTATATTAAAATGGTATGAATATCATGGAATTCTGAGGGGTGAAAATTTGCTCTTGTCAAAATGTTTAACACAGCTACAAAGAAAAAGGAAAGTGGGTAAAATGCAAATGCAAAATTTTATATTAAAGAAATTGGTGATGTGATTTTACATTATCTTTTTTTATGTCTCATTTCTTCTTTGAAGACAGTTTTCATATGACCGGAAATGGGCTAGACAAAGGGAGACTTCTCAATGACACCTCCTCCTCCTTGATACATCAACTTGTGGAGATACAAAAGGCACTTATCTCCCTTTGGTTAAGATAAGTCACGTGAGTCATGTGATAGCTGTTTAGTGACATCACATTATATGATGATGAAAGTGGCAATCAATTTCAGTTGGTTTACAATAGCCAAACCAAGTAGTTGCTTTTTTAGCCCAGACTGAGGGGCCCAGACTGATGCTAAATCTACCTCCTTTAGCATATGCTACAGCTGATAAGCACAGGGTGCCATTTCCCTTTGGCAATATGTCTTCCCAAATATAGAAAGAAACTATCTCCAGTTAACTGTCCTCAATTTTCAAAAACCCAATATTCGTTATTTCCTGTTCATGGAATATATCCTCGCTTGGGATATAGTAGATGTATCTGGCCAGTTTGAATCTGGAGTCCTAAATATGGCTTCTCCAGAAACACAGAAGAATCTCCATATTATATATAAAACTATCTTTTCATTCTCCTTTCACTCTTCTTGCTGTTTAGATATGTTATATTCTCTCTGTGTGGGACCTGTGTAAATATATATATATAATTTTGTGTATGTCTTACTGGTATAAAACTCTCTCTTAGAACAAAGCATGTTTGTCATTTCTGTTTCTTTCAGCCTTTCCATAATGCCCATAATAAGGGAAATACGAATGGGAGAATTAATCTTTCTTTTGTTGCTCTCCCATAACAGTCTTTTATTTATATATAATGTATTGACCTCATGTTAAATTTAAGAATATGCACAAATATTTAATAGAAATATATTATTGGCCAGATACTCCTTTTGCAAGCATGCCTATCTGCTATGGTATCTAGCCAATCCCAGTTGCAGAAACCTGCTCGGTTACATTTGTTACCATCACAATGGCATTTTAGCAATTTTTAAATTACTGTATATTATATATATATATATATATATATATATATATATATATATATATATATATATATATAATTATTTATTTAAAAATATGATTCCATTGCTACATAAGAGTTGTCATGTTTCAAAACATGAGAACTCTTATGTAGCGATGGAATCATATTTTTAAATAAATAATTATATTTAGGCTCTACTTTTGTATCAAGCACTGTTTTTTAAAAATAATAACAAAAATACTAAAGAACTTTGGATTATTTACCTAACAAGTTCTTTCCTATTTTCTATATATTTTCACACACACACACACACACACACACACACACACACATATATATATATATATAATGCCAAATCTGTAGGTGGCATGGATTATTCCAAAGAGGTTTTTTTGACATAAAAATGTTAAAAAGTTAACTCCATTATGAGAGCTCAATGTATCAACTCATATACAGAACAATATAAAATAAATAAATAAGAAGAAAAAGAAAAGACTTAATTAATCATCATATAATCGGTTATAAATTTTATTTCAACTTTATAAATTTATTTCAATTTTATAACTGTTGAAATGAAATTTATAACCAATTATATGATGACTAATTAAGTCTTTTCCTTACTATTTATTTATTTTATATATCTATCTATCTATCTATCTATATATATATATATATATATATATATATATATATAATGCTATCAACCTATACACAAAGGATTACAGTATATATATATGTGGGGGAAAGTGTGTGTGTGTGTGTGCATACATACATACATACATGCATACATACATACATACATACATACATACATATATAGATATATATATATTGGAGTATGAAATGCAGATAAAAAACAGAAATTCCAAGTAAAAAGGTTTATTATCCTGTATAAAATGCCCCTAATTTTAAAGCAAAGAAAATGACTAAAACTTGTAAAAAAGAAGAAAAAAACCGGACATTTTGTTTACTTTCATGATTCATAAGCATTACAAAAACATGATACTGACTATAATGGGTATAAGACCACTAAATCCCCAATACACCTTGAGAAAATAAATCAAAATAAATTGAATAAATATTAGCTTTTTTGGTTTTAATATTTTATGTCAAGCTAAGTTATTTCTTTTAAAATCATTTATGTAGTCCTGAAAAGGACTGTTTGTGAGGAATCCAGGTAATTTTTCTGTGCTCACGGGCATCCACAATATAAGAATGTAACGTCATCCTTGTCAAACCCTTCAAACTGGCCTTCATCATTAGACCTGTAGAACTGATCAAATTCTTTCTCTGTCAGGTTGGGGCACAGATCAGTGTAATAGGTATTGTTGGCAAGACTTGTTATCATTGTTGGTTTCTTGTGGTACCTCTGTTAAATCCCATTTCTGTATGAATCCCTTTTATAGGATATCATATTTGCAGATGTTGAGCTTGTTTGAGACACAGTATTTCTTGATGGCTTTGTCAATGATAGTGTCCAACTCTTCCCAAATAATGACAATCCACATGTACATGTCTTCAAGCTCTGGATTTCTCATTCTGTCTCCTGATGTGCATCCTATACACACAGGATTATGGAGTATATAAATAAAATGCCTGCTCAGGATTATGGTATATATAAATTAAATGCCTGAAATGACCAAAATAATACATTAAATATGTGTATGAGCTTGAGGGGGGTGTTAATTTGGTCTTATAAAAATGTTCAACTTGTCCACAAAGAAAAAGGAAAGGAAAAAAAATCGGATAATGTGTAAAAATGTTACATTTCAAAAATTGTTGCGATTATAGAATTTCAAAGGGTGCATGTTAGTGTATGGCAGGTGTGTGCATGTTAGCATATAAACAATTGATGTAGAAGCAGCAAAAACTTGGTTTATACTACAAATTTGGTGGGATCTTGGTTTGCTAACTGCAGTGTTGTTTCTGGTCTGGGAACAGTCTTCCTTTAGGTCTTGTCAGTTTTGGCAGATGACCTGTCCAATGGGAGTGTGTACTATATAGGATCTTGGTTCCATGCATGTCTGTTTTACAATTGCAGGTGTCCATTTACCAGTGTCCTGGTTTTGCACACAGACAGGTTATTTCACATGGAGTATGGGAAGCTTCCTAGTGTTTTGGTTGTGATATAATTTTTGTGTTGATTGCCTTTGGTATAGGCGGTTTGCTATTTTGTCTTTCCTTGCCAGATGGTTTGTGCATTTGATTGAAGTTTTTGATTGTATAAGAGCTCATCTGGTTAAAGAATAAAGTCATTTATTGGTGTAGCTCTAAGGCATAGCAAAACCATGTTGATGTTGTGGTTGCACTGGGTTGCTTTCTTCATGGCAGACCAGAGAATGTATGTACCACTCTGCCATCCCATTTGATTGTGGGTACCTTGGGGACGATGTGTGGTGTTTAAACTTCCACTCTTTCACTGTAGTGGGACCCATTATCACTGATAACCCTTTTGGGTACTCCCTGTTCTCCAAATATTTGTTTGGTCACATAGACTACTTCTTGATTGGAGAACTCTCTCAGTCTACATGTGAATAGGTATTTGGAGTAGTAGTCAACAATTAGTAAGTAGTTCTGGTTGCAAAAGAGGAAGAGATCAGTAGCTACAATTTGCCATAATCTTACTGGGATCTTATACTGTAGGAGTAGTTTGGTATGCTGCTCTTTTTGATGCTCTTGGCAAATGCTGCATTATTGAACAGTTTTGGCAATGTCGTTGTTGATGCCATGCCAGAACACACAGCTTTTTGCTCTCAATCTGCATTTGTCCGTCCCTTGATGAGCATAGTGTATCTTTTGTATAATTTATGACTACAGAGGTTTCGGAATTCTTATTCAACTACTCTTGAGAATTCCATTTTCAATTGTGAGTTCATGGTATGACCAGTAGGGCTGCAAATCTTAGCTAACCTTTTGTCTCAAGTTGGGCTATCCTCAAAGGATCATGTCTCTCAATTTGCAAAATATTGGGTTGGCATTTGTCATCTGGCGTATCTGTGTCAATTTTTCTGTTGAGAATTGCACAAGTCGACCTTTATGTCCATGTCTATAGCTTCCTTTACTTTCTTGTTTCAGAGCCGTGATAGTCTATCTATGAGAGTCATGTCCTTTCCTGGTTGATATGTGATAACCATGTCATATTCTTGCAGGCAATTGCAGCATTCGTTGAAGGTGGGGGCAAAGCTGCAGTGAGATTGTTTAGGGATATCATCTCCAGGGGTTTGTGATCACTCACAATGATAAATGGGAGGCCATATATGAACGTTCAGAATTTCTCACATCAAAAACTTTGCTAATATCCCCCATTCTATGTTGGCATAGCATGGCTCTGTTTCTGTGAGGGATTTGGATGCAAATGCTATGGGTTTGCCATCTTGTATAAATGTAGATCCAAGGCCTTTGCACAAAGCATCAACCTGAATCACTGACGTGTGGATTCAGGAAGTGGCAATCCATCTTGATTGACTTTTTGGGAGAACATTTTCTAAAAAATATACAAGGGGAGTGTGTTTCCTTCCACTCTAGTGTCAACTTTTGCCTTTAACTTGTGGATCCTTGGTCTTTTAGGGAGTGTTATATTTAAACTTGCAAAAGCTTTAGTTCAAATGTCTCTCCTATTCTGTTGACCAGTTGAGTGGAAAGACATTTGATCAAAATATTCATCTAGCTTATCACTTTGAATTAACAGGAGATAACTGATAACTGACATCCATTAAACATGGCTTGTGGAACTATAACAGTCTCCCGCAGTGAGCAAAATAAAAGGGTTCAGTTCAACATTCCAACCACCTGAAGAAGGCCAAAGTGTACGACTGCCAAAACATTGTAATAAATATGGCAAGAAAGATGAGGACAGTAGTCCGAATAAAAGAAATTTTAATATTTTATGAATCATGATGGATGACTTAACAACATTGAATTCCACGAATTATAGGTTTTATGCACTAAATGTCCTAACAATATTTTTTTAGCATCCATTATATTAGAATTTAACTTGAGAACCACAACTACAATATATTATAAGTTCACGATCTAGCCTCTTTTCCAATCCTCACCCCAACTTTTTTCCTTGCTTTCAAAACCGGCTCCTAAAGCTTTGATTCTTATCAGAGATAAGAATATATTTTCTGACTAGAGCTGGAAAATATAAAAAGGAGAGAGAGAGCTGGAAAAATATAAAAGGAATAAAAAGGAATTTGACCATGGTGCCATGAAGTCTGGGGATAACGCTCACAACTTCTTGGACCCTTGTTTCTAAAAAGCAGCTCCCAAAACCTTGATTCTTATCAGAGATAAGAATATATTTTTCTAACAAATGAAATGTCCAGGAAAAAGTCCCCGATATTTTCTGAGCCTCCTCATCCTCATAAATACAGATAATTTACGCCTGTCTGGCTGTGGTCAGCTTGAAGAAAGATCTACCTGCTAGACCGAAAAGACAGAACGTCAGCCCACCACTAAAAACCAATTGAGATCTGTCTCTGAGAAGATATCTGTCACCGGCCCATGAATTCACTCAACTACAGAATTTGTATCTTTTGATATTTCCTACTCTGCAAGAACTCTGAAGAAAACTGTGAGTGTTTTACCCCTTAACAATAATCTACTCACTTTTTTTAAATATTTTGAGCAAGCCTTTTTCTTTTATGAACATTTTTTCTTCCTTTAAAGTTAACGGAATTTTCTTCTCCCTTTCTCTCGTATTTGTGTTTATCCCTTTACCCTCTTTTTGTACATGTAAATAAACATTTTCTTCTTTTATTGTTACACACTGAGCAGGAGTTTAAGTCTTTCTTTATTCTTCCACCTAAAAGAGAGAGTTTGTCTGTTTTAATCTTTCAAGTCGTAGTTGCTCTTTTTATTCAATTTTGTTGCATTTTTTTAACCTCAACCCTTCATGTGGGAAAGCTGGGACAAATTTTCCACATTTTGCTCAAAAGAGAAAATTGTCCACTCTAACCTTTCAAGCCATTGTTGCTTATTTTCAATTTTGTCGAATTTTAACCTCTTTCTTATGGGAAATCTGGGACAAATTTCCCATAATTAATCTTTATCGCTCTGTACATGAGTTCATTTGCTGTACAAAAGTTTATCCTGTCACTGAAGGTGACTGATCCCTGAACAATAGCGTGTTTGAATTTCATAGTTGTGCTGTCATATCCTGCTATGGCAACAGAATACAACTTTGAGTGAAGGATACTGCAACATAGAGACATTGAAAAAGAAGGCAGTGGAAAGGGGAGGAATATTAATAATGCAGAGTACTAAATATTAAAAACTCAATTTACTCTTTCCTTCACTCTTCGTCTATGCACTATTTTTCTTCATTGATGTTCATTATTTTATTTTGATTTTCAAGGATCATTTTTATTTGCAACCATACAAAATAAAAAGCAACTGATTTTATTTTAGAAAATTTTCAGATTCATGAATAATGAATATTCTTTTGAGAGTAAACATTTGTTCTTTATTTTAAATTTCGTATATTAAATTTCAAATTTATAACTTTCCTTTCAATTTGGTTTAAAAATTTTTTATAGATTTTGTTTATTTTAAATGTAAAATGTTATGTTTCTGTAAACTTAAGAAGACATTGTCTTATAACTCAATAATCTTCTATTCTGTTTTCTTAAGATAAGCAAAATATGAATTCAAACGATATATTATTATTTTTTTAATGTAATTGAGAGAAAACTAATTTTTTTCATGATTTCGTTTCGTTTCGTTTTTCCTGTATGGAATTTGTTATTTAATTCACATTTTATTTAATTTAATTTTTTTTAATGAAAATGTTATACATTTTTATCTATACTTTAAACAATAAATTTATTATAATTCACACTTAAATAATAGTTAAAAGAAGAAAAATCTATCTGAATAAAAAGGGAAAAAAAAAAATCCGTTAGATGTGGACATTTTACCCATCATGCATATGTCAGCATTTAAAATATGGCAGCCGGGTAATAACGTTTGTTGATATTGGATAATCTGTGTTAATTTTTACTATATTTTTTTTTTTTTTTTTTAATGCAATTCGGTTCTGGATTAGCACTAAAAGGTAAGTTGTCACTACTTTATAGCCTTCTGGCTACAGCAAGATCAATTTTCAAATGCTTTTAGCTGATACTCATAAAATAAAAATAAAACAAACAAAAAAAAAATACAGACGTCATTGGTGATGTGATCTTAAACTGCAATGAAGATTGAAGAGTTAGTGACCAGTCATGAGAAATAAAAGGAAATTATTTCGGCATTGCCGGTTTGTGTTACATCCGTTTTACTGAATTTTGACTGATTTTTGGAACTAATTTCATTCGTACTTGTTTTATTTGCTTAATATTGTGTAGATAGCAAATAGATATTGAGTTGATTCATTTTTTTTATGCAACAACCTTGGCGTCAACCGTTAGAAGTAGCAAATCAAAGACTTTAACTCAAACTGCCATATCTTAATAATACTACTACATTTTGGGTGGGGTTATGGCTATAAAAAAAGCATTGTAATGTAGTCTTTAATCAACTGTTCTTAAGTTTGATCCTGTAGTTTTTTGTGAAGTCTTTTCATGCTAACAGCGGTTAGGTTTTTTTTTTGTAAGGTAAGAATGTCTCTACTACTGCACCAAACAATTTGGTTTCGTTTTCTTTATCTCTAGCCAAGGAAGTCGTTGAAGCCCTCAATTCTTTCAGATTTTTGTAATTATGAAGCTGGTGAATTTTATTAAATAATGACTATGTAAATTTACGGATCCCTTCTAGCATTTTTTTTCATCTAAGACTGTTATTACTGTCAGCAAATGTAATTTTTATCATTGAGATCTGGGCAACTATACCATCAACTGTAAGAACACTAACATTAAACATGGAAATCTTGGTACTACTAAAATAAATGTTTTGATCATGTGAGCTGTAAAACGTACTGAAGACAAACGTAATATAAATAAATTATGCACGGTGAATTTTCACTCTTATGTGGCTTTTTATCTACGATCTCCAGTAGCAAGTCGCGATGCGTGATAAATGAAAATAATAATAATAATAAACAATAAACATCAATAGAGAAGAAGAGCAGTTATGATTTGTTGCTATTTTTTTAAATTAAAATTTAAAAATGCATAAGAACGTTGCTATTTGGAGAGAAAAAAAGATTTTTTTCCCTAATAAGTAAAAATTTTAAAATTTAAGTCGTTCGGAGGAGTTATTTTTAAGACCTGTGATTAAAACTGAATTTGTGCAAGCCTGCATCACAGATTTTGTTTCTGATTTTTCTGTTACTAAAATTAGACTTAACAAAAAAAGGTGTAAGCAGCACATTAAAAATGAAGTGTTTTTATTTGCAACCTGTTAAAAAAATATTGCTCGATATTTTCTCTTATTTTTATTTTATTTTATTACAAATAACTTTTATCATTTTTTTAAAATTGTACAGTACATTACACACAGTTTGATTAACTTGTACTAGTTTTTAAAACATAATATTTATTATTTAAAGGACGAAATGCGTTTTACATGGAATTTTCCATTTTGTCATTCAATTACTCATCATTAGTTTGGCTCTACTAAAAGAGCTTTTTTTTTTTACTTAAAACCTTTTTCTATTTTTAAAGACGAGGCTAAAGTTCAAAATTATTCAATATTTTCATGATTGGTTCTGAGAAATTGATTCAAGCAAAGCTGCAAACCAAAAGTTTTAACTCCTCTCTTTCCTATTTTCCCCTTTAAGTTAAAATTCTGATCTGCCAACTTTAGGAAAGTAAAAGAAAAAATCGACTTTTTCACCCTTGAAATGTCACAATTAAAAACTGGAATGTGAAATGTCCTTTGTTATTTTCTTGTAATAATTGTTGTAATGAAAGAAAAGTAAATCATCAAAGCAAAAACACGTGCTTGTTAAATAATTTATGTAAAAAAAAAAAAAATGAAGAAAACTGCAATGTGTACCTGACACTGTACGAGGTCTGCGTGTAGAAATTGTCATTGTTCAACGCAACCATTGTACATTTTCATGGAGAAATACTTCAATTTAAAATGGGAGGCGATCCTAATTTATCTTCGTACACACCTTTTTTGTGGGGAGAGTAGTTACTGCAAGTAGATTGTACTTGCAATGTGTATAAACTAGGATAGCTTTCTTGGATGGTAACGTGTGCTAGATATTTTTTTTACTGAACTTCGTCTTACTCTTCTTCTTGAGTCTTGAGAACTGAGATTGATAATAATCCCACACCCAATAATGATTTTACTTTCATGAAACTAGTCTGGACAGTAACAATGCTGTTTTGGGAGTGGTGATTTTAATTGATTGATAAAAAAAGCATATTTTTGTATGAATTTGCATTTGCTTTTTATTTTGAGTTAACAAACTTGAGATAGCTAAGTTCACAGGGGAAGCAGCTAAACTTTTTTTTATCTTATCAGGTGTATGAAGTAGCTCGTATTTCCATTATTAGATACATGATTGTACTTGTTCTCCCACCCCATGCATACTGTTGTAACCAGATTGCAAGACGTGTTTTACTTGTCTCTGATTAAACAAGGAAGTAATAGCATTATATTTCTGTTTAATACTTGCTTAGATGCGCATGTTTTTCTTTTCTTTGAAGTATTGTAAACTTTATTTGAATTTGAGTGAAGTTATGCTCAGCATAGGTATTGCTGCTACTACTTAAGTAGGTACAGTAATCTCGGGAATGCTGATTGCCTGTAAACTCACCCACTGTGTGTCTACTATTATTGCATGTGTCATGATTAAGATAGCAATAGGACGGTGTAGGGAGCACCGAAATTCATGCCTTTACGAAAGGCATTTAGGGCAGACGTGATAAGTAGTCTCAACCAGGATTCAAACCTGTTAAATTTTCCAAACTAATAACTCAAACTATTACATAACTGTGTGTGTGTATATATATATATATATATATATATATATATATATATATATATATATATATATATATATATATTTTCTTTTTTTCTTCACTGTTAGCACAATTCTAAGTTTCATGTGCAACGCAATCTTCAGATGCTGCAATCGCCATGAAACTCAGTTGTGCTACTGGTCAGGATAAAACTGTTATGTTTATTAGTAATATATAATTTTTAGCTCTGTTATTCTACATCTAGAACTATTTTATTAACACCAGCACTCGATCTGTAATAATTCAGTATACCTAAGGTTTAAATGAATTTTCATAAATGAAGAAACTTTCTTGAAGTTTTCATTTTAGCTTTATTTGAAAGCTAAAGGATTAAATTTACTATTTCCAGTGAGCAAAATACTCTGTAGTGTATTTGAAACCAGTTCTATTGGTTGGAGTCAATTTATTTATTTAAAAATAGCTGATTAGTGGCCTTTTTTAGTGAACACAATGAATTTTTCTTTATTAAAAAAATCTTTCAAAAATAAAATAAACTTTTATGAAACTTTGAAGAATATTAGCTGATTTAAAATACAATTAATCTGATTTGAAACATATTTTTACCAAGATTTTCTAAAAACAAATATTAATTTCAAAAATAAATTTCTTCATTTATGAATAAATCCTGAAAGTTTCATTAAAATTCGACATTTACTTGATTTTTGTAAGACTTTCCAAATTAATGTTATTTTATCAGAAAACAAGCACAAAAATTTCCATTACCAGTTCTGTTACACTGTTGAGGCTTTAAAAAAAAAAGATTTTTAACCAACATTTTGAACATGTTAGAAAGAAGTAAAAAAAAAAAAAAATTTTTTAAATAATTAAAAAAAGTACTTTGGTCTTTCCTCTTAATAACATAAACATTCTGATGATAAATCTTTGTTTTTAAGTTTGGGGCCATTTTTTCATTATAGTATGCTTTTTTTTTTTTTTTAGCAAATTAATATATATATATATATATATATCCTAAAATTTCCATCGATGATTGTTTAATATTACTGGTAGTACATTTTTAATTATTTTATTTGATAATTACGCAGGTTGAACTATAAATATTTGAATAAACTGAATGTAGATTTCTCTGTTTGGTGTGTAGTTAAAGCTTCTTCACTAATTACCAGTAATGTATTAAATATGTTTTAGCGTATATTTGATTTACTCTTCAGTCAAGTTGCCTGTAATTATAAAATTATAAATTATGTTCATGGTCTATAGTAGAGAAAAGCATGGCTTAAGCAATCTAGTTACTTGGCAATTGTAATTTCAGTCCTTAGGTCAAATAGTGCAAAAATAAAAAGTGCATATGCTATGCTTCAAACTTGAAGCGACTAATGATATCAAAAGTGCAAATTAACATGTAAGAATTAACTGGTAATATCTCCTTTTGAATCAATCACTTAACTCAACCTCAATGAAGATCATAATCCACAACCCCACCCTGCAGTTAATTGTGAACTTTATAATATTTTCCATGGTGGAATAGTGGGTGTTTTAGCAGGGTTACATATGGTTTAGAATTCAGGATTGTTCTTCTCCTAAACTGGTTGGCAAACCTGGCCAGAATGCCCAGTATACCCTACTATTTAACCTACAGCTGGTTTAAGATAAATTCATGCTTTTCTCAAATGTGAAAGTGAAAATAAATTTGACTAGAATTCAAACTCAGCTCATTGATTTCTTGTTCTAATCATTACACTACCTACACATTCAAATGTGCAGGTAGAGAGTAATTGATCCCAGTAAATTGAATAAAGAATTCAATTCAAAATTACAGATTACCAATTGCATAAGGCAACTTAGAAATGTTGCAGAATACAATAGCTGAAATATTGTGACGATAACAAACATAATGATACTAGTTTGAGGAAATTAATATATAATAATTTATTTGGAAAAAAACAAAACAAAATCAGACAAAAATAAATTTGTTTTTTAGTTAGATTTGCACAAGGAATCATAATATAAACATTTGTTCAGGAAAGAGAATGTCTTGTCATATATTTTAAATTGAATATTCTTTTTTGATGTGTGGTAATTTGGCACTTGAAACCAATTCATGATTCCTGTTCTGATGACCTGAATTTGTTGTCTGTATTTGCAGTGTTTTGTGAGAGATCAGGTGGCTGTTAAATTTCCCACCTGAAAAGCTGCTCCCCTCACTTAGGTGGGGTATGGCTTATCAGTATCATCGTGATCACGTCTATGACAGTGCAAGCAGTGATACAGAAGATTATTCAGAAACGGAAGATAGAAGGAAAACTTGCATAAAACGGACGAGGTAAATTCTGCTTTATTTGCCAAATCCTTTCAACTTTCAGCAATGAAAGCTTTATTAGTCATCAGAATTTTTCTCGGATTGAAATTTTTAATTTGGTTATAAAGTTTTGAGTTCTTAAAATATTATCTGAAATTAAATTTAATGCAAATATTTTAAAGCTTGTAAAATGATAGACTTCTTCCCATTGCTATCACAATTAAGCAAATTGAAAATGTTTGTTTTTTGCTTGCCAAATGGAGCCTTTATTTTTATTTTTTTCTAACTAGTATATGGCAGGGTGATTGATGCCACTGAATTTTAAAAATATTTGTGTGCTTTTTATATATATATTTTTTTTTTCTTAGTGAATTGACAAAACTTTTCAAATGAAGTAAGCAAAGGAATTATCTAATCCTCTTCATATTAAACTGGTAAAAATTTCCATTCATTTAGAAATGTATATGCAGCCCTTGACTTTTTGGCATGTTAGTAAAAATATCTAATATTTTAAAATTCTATGGATAAATAAGTTGTATACATTTAAATAACTGGTTTGTATTTATTTGACTTTATTTATTTTTTATTTTTTTTTTTTAGTTCCTTAGGTCCTCCACGTTCTAAACCATGTCTTGTGAACCGTATTAGGTCTTTGAGCCTGGAAGGTCGCAGCAGCGATAATGAAGCTGCCGACCAGGCTCAGAATCAGATCAGTCGTAGCCCCTTCCCTTGGGGTTACCACAGTATCTGTGTTGGGGGTCCTAGGAATCTGTCACTCCAGTGCCACTTTGACCAGCTCAAGTCCTGCGAGCCGGAGTCTGACACGTCCATATCGAAGAACATGAGCTCTCAGAGTGGAGAGCGTATAACCCTTGTGGTCGATGACACCCGCTTTGTCGTTGACCCAGATTTCTTCAGAGCTCAGCCCAATACCATGCTTGGCAGGTGGGTAAATTCCTTTTTTTTTTTTTTTTCTTTTTTTTTTTAATTTAAATTCATTTATTGGAACTATATTTTTTGTTGAATATTTAGTTGTATTTGTTAGTATCTGCAATGTAGCTTAAATGTTTTGTAACTGTTAAAGGAATATATATTGTGTGTATACACTGACATGCCAAAAATCATGGAACAGCAATATGTACAAGTAATGATAGGTAGTATCATCATGCCTTGACATCATGAAAATCCTCAAATCTATATCAGTCTGCACTTATATTTGGTGAGTCTGTAAATACAGGCTAAGCTGCTTCATGACAAGGTAATATCAATTAGCAAAGTTTGAATAAGGCATGGCATAAGAAACAAACAAGAGAAAAAAGAGAACACTAATTTACAAAAAAATTTAGTTAATATACTGAGAACCCAATATCTTTGGAAAATTGGAAATCAAATTAATGAAGCCAAACAACATAGATTGTGTTGAAATGGGGAGAAAAGCAAAATATCACAATCAAAACCAAAACAGTAGGAATGTCTTGGCCTCAAAAACAATTCTTTGAGTCACATTTCAACCCTGACCACACTAATTTAAAGATGCCAGGGTAAATAGAATATATACCAGTCAGGCAGGCAAAAGAGAAATGGCTCAATGAAAAGTGTGCAGAAATAGGATAAAGCGGATATGCTTAAAAGAAGTAATCTCCCAACAGCATATGACCATATCAATAGAGATGACTTCTCATTCATTAGATACAGTCTTCCTAATCTAACTCCACTGAATGTAGTGATCATATAGAGAAACTGTACCAGTCCACAAATTCATACATCTCATGAAAACCACAATACTGAATCACTTTGAACCTCATTAGGAGTACAACAAGGAGGAAATGCACCAATCTAATCTCTCCCTTGACAATGTTCTGCACATATATAAGCATAGTTGTAAAGAGATGGGAACTGATCACTTAAGCATTCCATACCATATCGTAACTGAATCTACTAATAGAAAACAGCATACCTGTGTTCCCTGCTGAGGCTAGTGTACTCCTGATGAGGGGACATATGTTGATGACATAGGTATTCACAGTTATGGATAAGAATTGATCTTGAACAAAAATCAACATTCTTTACCAAGTGTGAATGAAAGCAGTGATGGCACATAATCTGAATCCATCATAAAAATTCATGATGAAGAATTAATAAATACTAAACACTTCAGTGTATGGAACAGTTATGACAAACTTAGTATAGGAGATTGAAGAAATTGAACATAGAATAGGCTGTAATAGAAGTAGTATTGTCTAACACTGCAAGATGCTACAAAATCAAAACATTACCCTAAGAATAAGTTGTTTATCTATATATAAAATTCTGTGACTTCCATTTGTCTGTCACACCCTCTAAAATAGCTATACATTGACTGATCAAAACCAAATTTTGTGGAGAAGTGCAAACAGGTAAGGGAGTACAAAGTACAGTTGGTTTTACTAGGGTGTGTAAAAACTCAAGTAGGATTTTTGTCAAAGTATTTTTCCAAACAAATCAGCTTATTCAAGTTTCATTAAATGGTTTACAAAATTGAACGAACATAGTTTGTAACGCTTGACAAAATGTTAGCAATAACTTCAACAATACTAAATACTGTAATGATTTCAACACGCTGACACAAGTTGCAAAAAAAATTCTAGTGTTCTTAAATAGCCTTGTCAGATTGAAATATTTATTTGGATGTCATGCATGGTGTCCAATCCATTCAGAACTGTCAACTGTATACAACTGCTGTCTCAGATTGGAGATTAAAGATAGCTTTGAGTAAATGAAGCCTGTAGGCTGTCGAAAGAACTGTCCTACTTTAAATCTTGTGAACTAGTGCTACAGAATCACAATAAAACCATGTCACTTGAGGACTTTCAACAGCAGCAACAACTAAAATGACTAGCACATGTAAAAGATTGTTTTAATAGAAAACCATGAATGCTGAATGTTTCCACATAAGGAAACTGCTAATATCACCATTATCATTATTGCCCACTGTGGACAGTATCATGGCTGACCGTGGGTCCTTAATGACTGTTAACAGAGGCATCTAGCTAGAATTGACTGTAGTAATAGACAATTGACACTGGCTTAAATTATATCTACATTCAATGCAGGAGATACCATATTCATGTCCAGCAGATCAGTTCAGCATTCTTTAGATTAACTGGAATATGAAAGTAGATTCTCAGACTACCAGTGTTAAGACCACAACACTGGACATGTCATCTTATCCTGGGTTCATGATATCACTAATTAGATCCTGGAGAATTGGCAATGTGTGACATGATCTGATAATCCATGGTTCCAGTTTTTTATTTTTAGCTGATGGTATGATTTGGGTGTTTCCTAGTTGTCAACAAGGAACCATACAAATTCATGATAGTTCCATAATGGTTTCAGTAGTTGAGCCTGCTGGTCTGCTGAAACATGTCATTGACTGCTAATCATTTCTCTGCTTCATGACCATTTGCACCCATTTATAGACTCCATGTACCCTATAAAATATGGGTGATTACAGCAGAATAATGCACAGTGTCATTGGGCCCAAGTTAACAATATTTGGTTTGAGGATCTTTCTGGAGATTTCCAACAATGATGAGGTCATCATGTTCACTCAACCAATCAATTCCTTATGGGAAGTGGTGGAGAGATCTATTCATACACAAGATCCCACACTCTCAAATATCATGTAACTGTGCATGTCTATTGAAATAGCAGGGTTCAACATATTTCCATAAGTCATCTAACTACTTGGTTCTGTGCCATATTGAATTACAAATTTTAAAAATCATAAAAATATTAAGTTTGATTTTTTTTTTTTTTTTTTTTTTATCTGATGTGCATTCTTACTCATTTAGATTTTTGAGTAAATCTGTCAGTTGTCAAATTTTTTAAACTTTTAACTTGAAAATACAAAGATCCACTAACCTGACCAATTTTTGAAAGTTTCTTTTTATGATTTTTTTTTTCCCTCACCTCTTATTTTAAGAATGTTTACCTCTTCCCTCGAAAACAATTTTACCCGGCCAAATGAGCGAGGGGAATATGAGGTTGCTGAAGGTATCTCATCTACAGTATTCAGAGCAATACTCGTAAGTACACCTGATTTTGTCTTTATCAGTTTTATACTTTCATTTCAATTCTGTAAGCATGTCAGATATTAAGTTTCTGTATAGGAAACGTAAATGAAAAAAATCCTCCTTGAGCTTTTGTGTTTGGTAGTATTATTTTACAGCATGATGAATGTGTCAAAATAGCTATATATATATGGTTTTGAAAACCAAAGTTGAAACTCTATTATCAAAATGCCTAATTAATGAGCAGGATCAATTCAATTTTAAATTTTTCTAAATATATGTAATAATGATTGATGTTTTGAAAATGTCTTACAATATTAACTTGGTCTTCTAGTATTCCATGAATGTTAACTTTCAGTGCTATGTACAAAAACAATCAATTTGACTTTGCTTATTTTTTTTTATATTGGATCAAATAGTATTAATTGAACTTTCTAGAACTAAAACTCCATATCAAGAACTTGGGAGTTTGCATATATCAGAAAAAGGCAACTTTATATTTCTTCTTGCATTGTAGGATTATTACAGAACTGGCATGGTCCGCTGTCCACCAAGTATATCTGTCCAGGAACTACGTGAAGCATGCGATTATCTTCTCATTCCATTTGATTCTGATACTGTCAAATGTCAGAACCTTCGTAAGTACTCTGAGCTCTGGTATATTTCAGTAAAAAAAAAACCTGAAAGTTAAAAATACTCCTTTTTTTGGACACACAAGAAATAGAGCTGAAATTTAAAACAGTAATCTCTGCAAGTCAGAGTTCACAATGGTGGTATTAAAATAATTCTTGTGAATCACACCTATTGATGTTTTACTGAAAAAAATATAAACAATAATAATTTTTTTTTTCTTTTGTACTAGCACATTTTATTGATTTAAAAAAAATTCTTTTTAAGTATCATTAAGGAACAATTACTTATCTGAGCATTTTTATTCCTTATCTAGGTGGTTTACTCCATGAATTATCTAATGAAGGTGCTCGGCAGCAATTTGATGAATTCTTAGAGAACCTAATTCTACCACAAATGGTGGCTTGTGCAAAGGTTGGTCTTGCTGAAAATCTTGTTATTCTTACACTTGTTTTTCTTTACACAAAACTGCATAAAAATATATAAACACAAAGTATTATAATGGCTTGATAAGTTTTTTTTCTTTTTCTTACTGGCTTAATGTTCAACAACACCTCTTTAATAAAACTTTTTACTATATAAATCTGGACTGACTTGAAATGCAAATGGTTCTAATAAATAGTGACTGTTTTATAACTGGTACATTTTATGTATTTGGATTTAATTTTAAATGAATAATCAGTAAATATCTTTTATGCATATTGTAAGCGAATACATACATGCTTAAAATCATTATTATACATACATACATACATATATTATACATATATTATACATATATTATACATACCTACATACATACATATATTATACATACATACATACATACATACATATATTATACATATATTATACATACATACATATATTATACATATATTATACATACATACATATATTATACATATATTATACATACATATATTATACATACATATATATTACATATATTATACATACCTACATATATTATACATATATTATACATACCTACATATATTATACATATATTATACATACCTACATACATACATATATTATACATACATATATTATACATACCTACATACATACATATATTATACATATACTTAAAATCATTTTATGCAATTATAATTCAACAAGTTTATTATAGGCACTGTAATGTGAAATATGGGAATATTATTGATAATAGATAATTAAAAAGGCTGACATTAAACTATTTTTATCCTGTAAGACTTGTCTATTTGGTTTTGGATTAATGACCCAGTAAGATTTAAAATGTTATTAAACTACTAAACTAATTTGTATACATGGCTTAAGAAAAAGAAAGGAAAATGCAGCTAAACAAGGTTCTCATTTTCTATTAATACATAGACAGTTTTTCTATTAATACAAATAAGTTAATTTATTATGTACAGGAAAAGAAAATCTCACTGACACTCACACACACGCACACACAAATAATGTGGAAGACTCCCCAATCGTTTTTTGATTTGAGGTTCCAACAGCTCAGTTCTTAGAATGAAACAGCCAGGCCACCTGGATATATGTTTTGATTAAAGTGGTGATGTATATATAAATAAAAATTAAAGGTGGAATTATCTACTGTAGAATGAGGGTAAGCAAGCTCATCTCAAAACTATTAACATAGTGAGTTTGAATATCACATTATTTAGGCTTTGCACTAAAATGATCTTTACTAATGTATTTTCTTCATGGATTTTGAGATAAATGCCTGAATTATTTGTCATTTCATTGTGCTTGTTTTTTTTTTGTTTTTTTTGTTTGTTTTTTTTTTATTCAGCGAGGTGATAGAGAATGTCACATTGTAGTCCTGACAGACGAAGATGTTGTTGACTGGGATGAAGAATATCCACCACAAATGGGAGAAGAATATTCACAAAGTAAGTCTCATTAATGACTACATTGGAACAGATCTGATTAAATGATATATAAATTAGATTCTATGCAACTTGTGAAATTCATTTTGCCTTTTTTTTTGTCTCCATCATTGTTGATATTTTTATCCTTTCTTTTCCTTTCTCTCTTCAGTTGTGCACAGTACACAGTTGTATCGCTTTTTCCGATACATTGAAAACAGGGATGTTGCCAAGCAGGTGCTCAAAGAAAGAGGCCTGAAGAAAATACGTTTAGGAATAGAAGGTATTTTGACTTTTTCCAGAGATTTTTTTTTTTCTAATGCTTTTCTCAAAGAATGGGTATTAGGACAATAAATTATAAAAAGATGAATTTCTAGGAAAAGTAGTTAATCTTAAAAGTAAAATTTTAGGACAATGATTATATATTCAGGATAAATTTCTCTTAGTTTTTTTTTTTTTTTTTGTTTTTTTTTTCCACATCTGAAAATGTGACATAGATGTTGGGGTGGGGCAGAATTTAGCTTTTCTGCAAGTGTTTGTAACAAACATTTCATTATTGTTCTCTTATGTAAATAATTGTAAATTTGTCTAAATCAAGATGTTAGCCTATTAATCTATCATTTTATTTAATACAAAAGCTAACCTATTAAAATATTTTAGATCAATTGATGCAACTTTACTATTGCAGGAGGTTTTATATAACTTTATTTCTTGCATTAAGTGGTCTCACTTTTATTTATTTATTTTTTCTTTCTTTCTTTGTAGAATATATCGAATAAAGTCCATAAGGTCTAGAATAAGTTAGGTCATATATAAATTCCAATATACCAGTTAAAATTTATGCTTAGGTTACTTTTGTGAACATTGTGTACTGTCTTAAATTAAATGTTGCTTCTGTGGCAAAATGTATTTAAAAAGAAAAAAAAAAACTTTAAGGAAACAAGAATTGTTATGATTCCAGATAGCAATAATGTTCAATATATATATATATATATATATATATATATATATATATGAAACTAATGTTACTGTTTCTTTTTCTTTTTTTTAGGTTACCCTACTTACAAAGAAAAGGTCAAAAAGCGAGCTCGTGGTAGACCTGAAGGTAAAATTAACCATCCTGTTAGTGTGTTGACCCCTTGCATTGACTTGCTCATATTGAGAAAAGATTGTAGGGAATTAACTTAATCACTCGTTCTCTTTTTTAGTCCTGTTGCAATTATCATTTTATGGTTGAGTTGCTATAAGAATTTCATTAAATACTTGAACATATCATCTGTTAGCATCTCCCTTTACTTGCCAGCTTATTCTTGAACTAATTTCTTGTTGTTCCTGATAGCAAGTTGTATAGGCAGGCATCATCACTGTTTGGACAAGAGGAGTTGGGAAGAAAAACTGCCGCAATAAACAACCAGCCATCTGCATTCCAGTGCAATCTGTCATGGACTGCTGCTCAGGAATTGATTTTTTTTTCATTTTTTCAAGTTAAATTCATTACACTTTTTCCTTTTCAAATATATATCTGGCCAATAAAAAGAAAAATAATATACAAGGTTTGGCAGAAATACCACCTACATTTTAAAGGTTAACAAAAAAGACCAATATGGGATGTATTTCTGCTGCACCCTGTATAACTTTAAAATTGAGGATAAACACTTGGCTGTTTTCATATTTGTTGATTTTAAAGAATAGTTGCTTTTTCAGACTCTGATCATCAGAAAACTACCCCACACCCCATGTAATAAGTTTAGTCTGATATGTTCCTTGTTATACAACACTTTCTAAGAAAGTATATAAAGTTAATTCACAAAAGGGATGTACGTAGGTAGTGTACAGTTTATGTGTGGTAGTCAGTTTCCTGATTATTGTGTGCATACATACATTCGAGAAGAGCTAGCAGAAATTAGCCTACTACAAGTATGTGTTTATTTATTTTATCAAACATAAATGAATTGAAATTGATGCAATGAAGATAAACACCGTAAATATGAAATTTGCCATAGATTTTTTTTTTTTTTTTTTTTTTTAAATCATTCAGAAATATTGTCCAAGTAAATGTTCTAAAATCATTTAAAACTACAGATTAGAAATATAAGTAATCAGTTTAATGATTCAGATGTGATCTTAAAAGATAAACTCATTAGTGGTTTACTGAAATTGATTTGTCTAACTTAATTTAATGGCTCAAAGAAAGGCTAAATTTTAGTCCAGAATTTTTTAAGTTCAAACTCTAATAGGATTAAAAAGATCAATGCACATTTTTTTTATTGGCAGTATTATCAAAGATAGAATTTGGATCCAATAAGACTTGTTTCTGGTGCAAGAAAAGGAGGAATGTAGTTGGAACTGATTTCCTGGGAAAATTGGTAAACTGAATAGTATTCAATATAGTAGCAGATAATTTGATACACTATGCTATGAATAGTTTTCTACCTGTTTGAATAGACCAACAGGCTCCAATCACTATGATTACTGTTTTTTTAAGTAAACATTTTGTTTTTTTAAGAAATAGCTTTCTGCTTATGGACTACTTCAGACACTTGAATACTATTGAAATTGTATGGCATATGGTAAAAAGTGAAGTTAAAAAATGAAAACCCATAAACAGTTGATTGGTTTTTATGCTAAAAAAAAATCTATCAAGCATTTGGCTTCTCCAAATGTAGACAACTTGTGGCCTCTCTATCCAGGTGATGCTATGAAGTCATAAACAAAAGGGAAATATTCTGCTCTCTTTTAGTGACCTTTCAAAATGTACAACCCTTTTATCCAGGGGAAAATGATAGGGATTGAGTATTTAAATAATGCTTCGTGACAGTAAAAAAATCCTGTGTAATGTGCTTTGTCCTCTAGGACTTTATTGGAATAAAGTAGTTTGTGATGGTGGAATTTTGTGTGTAAAAGTAAGGGGGATATACATGAATGTTCATTATAATTATATGCTGAAGATGTGGAAACCATGAATTTAAAATTTTTGAGTTTGTAATTTTTTTTTTTTTTTTTTTTTTTACCCAATGTAACTGATCTCATTCAGTTTCATTATGTCTTTGTTTTTATTGTTTTTTATGTATCTCACATTGTGATAATGGAAGATCTGCCAGAAAGGTGAACTGTAAGAGCCTGGATCAAAATTTACCATAGTTGATTTAGCAATCAGTGCACTTCTATATATTTTCATCTTTTTAATAAATTGCTTTCTCTTTTAATTAAAGTAGCATCCTTGTTTTTGGTCTGTAATCAAAATTATGATCATCCATTGAGTGTGTTTTGTAAAAGATCTGTTTATGTTCATATAATCTATGTATTCCCTTTGGCAATCATTACAGGTAATACAGTAAATTCCTCAATATCTGTCTCTATTTCTGAGATGAGGCATTGTAACTATTTCTATCGTTTGAACTGTTGTCCTCATTTTTGCCATATTCATGATGCTTTTCCATTGTATACTCGGACACATGGCCCAGTGGATAAAAGTGTTGGTTGAAGTGATCCAAAAAGTGACTTTATCCAAAGAGTCGTGAGTTTAATACCTTGCCACACCAGAAGGAACAAAGACTTGGAGAGTTGAGTTACTAGAGGAAATTAACTGATACCGAGATATCCAAAATAGGCTTGGCATGTGGAATTAGGACAATCTATCCCTGTGAACTAAATAAAGAATTCAGTTCAACATTCCAATGTATATGACCTGAAGAAGGTCAGAGCATACAACATCTGAAATGTGAATATGGCAATGAAGATGAAGAAAAGTTTGATGTGAATAGTAAATTCCTCCTTCAACTTTTAGCTTATTTTGTCTTGGTTCCAGTTTCTTATTTTAGAAATAGATGTAAAAAAAAGTTTAAGCTTAGATAAATTTTGTATCTAACACATATGAATAAAAAATTTAAAAATTTAGCATTCTCCTATCATCAGTGTTTCTCCTCGATACATAAAACCTACACATAAATTCCATCAATAAAAACCTTACTTTAGTCTGACGTCCTTCTAGAGGATAAAACGTGTTACACAGAATTTTTCTACAGTTGCCTAACATTACTGATATATCATATTCTCTCATAACGTCTTGAAAAATTAAATTTTGACTATTTAAATACCTTTTTGACAGCATCAAATTTTTGAATGATGCTAGCAGAAAATGGTCCCCCAATATATAATTAAGTTTTAAAAATGGCATCACCAAGTTTATTAACACTTCCATTGCTATGGATATACTTTTATGTCTTTATGAAACTTACATTGCCTGCTGTTGATGTAGGTGTACATTTTTCAGGACAGCTGAAATCTTGGCCCTTAGCATTTTCCATAAACTAAGCTGTTTCCAAACCACTATAGACATCTAATAGCATACAATTCAATGTTCTGTGACATTATTGTGTATTTGAAGTGGGTAGCTTTGTCCTTACTCTATTATATCCAATCAAAACCAAAGTGGTAGTACCCATAAGAAATTACTGTTAGCATCTTTATTTCCGGTACATGGCAATTCCTTGGTGTTCCCAAAACAAGTCACTAAATTTAAATACTCTTGACTGCCACAGCAGTTTTTCAGAAAAAGTAATACATATTTCAATGTAATGTAATACATATTTGAAAGCCTAAAGTAATACATGTATTTTAAACCTGCATTTTTTTTTATTTTTTTTATCAATTGCCTTTTTCTCTTTTCTTGGGTAGTGATTTACAATTACGTCCAGCGTCCATTCCTACGCATGTCCTGGGAGAAGGAAGAAGCAAAAAGTCGTCACGTAGATTTCCAGTGTGTAAAGAGCAAGTCCATCACAAACTTGGCTGCAGCCGCCTCAGATTCTCCAAATCCCGACCAACCCAGCAGTGGCACAGGTGTTGCAGCAGGTGGTGGAATTGGTGGTGGTGGTGGTGGTGGCGGCGCCGGCGGTGGTGTTGGTGGTGGGGCGGGGGGTGTTGGTGGTGGCAACGTTGGGGCTGGTGTTGGTGGTGGCTTGGGTGGTATGATGGTTGCCGGGGACGTCATCATTCAACATCAGCAGGGCCAGGACGGCAGCATCAATGTCATCCCTCCACAACCATCACCCTCTGAGCCATATCCAGGGGTGCAGCTACCTCCTGAAGGAGATGGTGAGTAATTGGTTAGGAACAGATCTTGGTGGTCTTATCTCTCCCATCCTAATTTTTTTTCTCTCTTCCTCTTTCATAATTTATTTTGATATACATATTCCTCCTTAAATTCTCCATATATTTTTAAATATGTATGTACTTTCGTTAAGACCTTAAAATTTATATACTTATTTAGCATTTTTGTACCATTTATAGATAGATATTTTTTAAGTTGATTTTTATAAATTAAACTTTTGAGTGGATGAAATCATTTGTTTTTTCTTTATTTTCTCCCCATTAAATTTTGTTTTCCACTGTAAAACATTGGAAAAATTTAACATTACATGGGAGACAATCCTTGCAAGTAATTCATCTGTTTCAGTTTACAAGTGCTTTGTGATCAACATTCCTACAAGATCTGATGGAATCCTGTCTCTCCCACAATACCTAACATCTACACATTTGGCATTTTATCCCTATCTATCAAAGCATTGTTACCATTTTATGATTAATATTTAGATAGGTAGGTTCTGTATACATATTATGATTTGAAAGCTTCAAAGTATAGCAAAGTTCTAGATAATTCCAAAACTTTGGGGTGGTCAAGATGTACAGGAGATTGTACAAGTTCGAAATAAATTTTAAAACCAATTTAAAAAGATTTAATGACATAACATTATTATTATCTGGAAAGAGATTTGACCACCAGTTTCCTTTTCAGCTTCTCCTTCCTCAATGACAAAACCTGCCTGATTGCGTCGATGACAACCACAATTTAACCCCCTCCCACACACACTGCATGCTTGCAGCGCGCACAATACCTTAAGGGATGGGAAAATGTTTCTACCCATCCTAAGGCTTTTCTCTCCTCTTGCCTCTTAATAACACAAATTTATTTCAATTAGCAAACAATTTTTCTTTTTTAATGAATAAAGAGGATAATGATTTTTTTTTTTTTTTTTTTTTTAACAATAAAAACGAAAAGCTTACCACCATGTGGCAAGACCTATAATGCCATTATCTTGCAATATTAAAAAACATTTCCAGAAAGAGCATTTTTTTTTTCTTTTTGATAAAGCAAAAGGCATTGTTGATGCTAGTTTCTTATATATTTTCTTATGTAGCATTAGTTTTTTTTTCTTTTCCCCTCCACATCCCTTTTGCTCATTGTTATTCAGAATGAATGTTTTGACCTAAGTTTTGTTTCAATGCAATATAGTGTTAAGGCATTAAAGAAAAATGGTGAAATTGCAGTATACTACCATATTCAGGTAGAAGCAGAAATGACTGAATGCATTAGAACGGTTTTGACAGTGTTTAGAACCAGAATTTGAATACATTAGAAGGTAGCTGTGCCAAGATGAAAGAAATTTTTAAATGCATGCAGGTGTTGAATTTTATTTAACAATTATTAAAACTGTTAGCACATATTAAAAAATTGTTTAAGCCCCAATAGACAAAGATCTAGCTCTTTTGTTTGACCAGTACATGCTATTTAAAATCCTAATTAACATTTCTTTTAAGACTCCTATTTAATTTTTTTTCTTTTCTTCTTGAAAAGAAATAAACAGCTAAGAGGAAAAAAACAAACTATTTTTGTCATTTTCAATTTTGTACTTACTTTTTTTTTTCTCCACCCCTTTACCATCAAGTTGGGAGAAACTGAAAAAAAAACCTCAATTCTGTGTCAGCTATTGAATATTTACCATTTTAATATATATTTAAAAAAAAAAAAAATTTTGAGTCTTTTTGTAAAGACATTTACTAAAAAAGAAAATAAAATTATTTAAAAAAATAAATTCCTAGTTATTTTTATTTTAAACTTCAAAATTGTGATGCTCATCTTATTTTTGTCATACAATTCTAATTTCAATTATTAGTCACAAATTTGGTATGTGTCATTTTTATGCCTCTCATATTTTCTACACCATTTATGTTCATGTTGAAATAAAATGCTCTAAACTTTTCCAGCTGTAACTGTTCTCCACTTTTTGCCTTACAATGTCAGATTGTAATGGTGGTGCTGCTGGTTTTTGTCTCTTTGATTTTTTAAAAAAAAGTTTTTTCTTTTCTTTTTATTTTGTTTGTTTTTGTTACACACCTATAAACATTAATGTAAATATTATAACACTTTTTACAAGAATCGAATGCTTGCATAAATACACACACACAAATCTGATCATAAAGAAAAACAGCTTCTATTTTCTCATACTTATTTTCAAAGTTGAGGTTGTCTATTTTCCATTGTGTACTTTTATCAGTGGACTGAATAGACAAATTCAGTTGTACTTGTAATGTTTATCTTGTATATTGTTTAGACATATCTAATTGAATAAATTAGACATTACATCTGCTAATTTTTAACAAAATTCGGTCATACTCACAAATAACCTTCCGTGTATTGACGTTAAAGGATAAGAGAAATGTGCTATAGCTGTTTAAATTTCTTTTGTTTTCATTTCCCAAGTACTTTCAATCTTTTTTCAAGATCATCTTCAGGGGTGCAAGTAATACAAAACTATATGTTGTTCATTAATATAAGTATTTATACAAAGTTGTGTGTTGTTATCCATTACCGTAATTTTTTCATTATGCTTTTAAGTGCAAAACTGTTGACATGCCTAAAAGAGAATTTGTTGCCTAAATACACAAATTTTAAAATATATGTCTTGACCTACACTGATGATGGCTTCATCGAAAGCTTAGACCACATGCCTTGTATTTTTCTTCCAAAACGAACTTTGGACAATTTCTGACAGAATTTCCTCCTTGTCTGAGACTGATTATTTATAATTTGGAAGAGTCAGTAATTAAAATTAACCCACACAATGTCTGTTTTTTAATATTTGCCTTAAAGGACATCTGCTGCTTAAATATACTATGTATAAATAGATATATATATTTTTTTTAAGTTCTATTATTACAAAAAGTACAAAATGTCAAAATATGGAGTTAATAATTAGCATTGCTGCCTTTGGCTTGAATAATTGTATCAATTTGCTATAGCATTGAGTGGAACAATGTCCAAATTTTCTCATTGGTAATCCCTCCCCTCCATTCTTCTTGGCAGTAATGCCAAAGCTACTAGAGATTATGGTTTCTGTTGGAATGCTTGTTTCTTCACTTCCCACCACAACAGTTTAATTATATTGAAATCAGGACTCTACGTGGGCCAGTCTTCCAAAACTTGAACATCTTCATCCACAAGACACCATTTTGTTTCAAGTGATGTGTGGCAATGAGCAGTCATTCTGAAAAAAATTTTCTTTGTAATCTGACAAGATTAGACCACAGTAAACTAAGTTTTTGCTGTTAGGTTTCCATGAACTACTCATCTATTTGCATTTGATGCAATCCCACACCATTACATAACCCACCAAATTTTGCCATCTTTGTGGTGTCTCTTGCATCCCCCCCCATACCATTGGTCTTATATTTTCTCTTGCAATAGAATGTACCTATTTTTGCATTAATCGCTAAAAATTACTTTTTGCCACTTCCAATGTTAGATGTTCTTTTGACCACTTCAATCTTCTATTCTGATCTTTTGGTTAATGATGGTTTTCCTTTTTCTACTATACACCTGTTCTTGAAAATTTTTTTTTCATAAATACTTTGCATACTATATCAACTGAAACCTCAGTTAAGACTGGATCTGGATCTGGATCTTTTGGATTGCCTACCAAGACTCAGTCTTTCTTTCATTTCTCTTTTCTAACCTTTATGGGCTTCCAGTTTCCTTTGCACAATACACTTACAGTAGAAGCAGCAAATGACTTTTGGATGATCTGAACAGTTGCTGGAAATTCCCAGCTGTCTAAAGTCACAAACTTCATCTAGGTTTCAGCAGACATTTGCATATTATGTCTTTTACCATATCAAATCTTTTATTGACTGAATAGTTTTGCATGGCCTTCTTTCAACTTGCAAGTAGTGTATCTCTGGTATATAACGCCTAAGAAAATGCAACTTATTTTCCAATCTTCAAGGTTCAAACATTACTGATAAAAGCATACTGCTAAACAATATCAATAAAATAAAGGTGTATAATCATTTAACATAGTTGCTCCAAAACTTTTGCATGCTACTGGTTTTGATAAACTGGTACAAATTCAACTCACATCTGGACATAAACTTGCAATATATATATATATATATATATATATATATATATATGAGAGAGTTTACTTCAGATATTATTATTAGTGGATACTAATATTTGAAATAGATGTCTCCTCTTTATTTTTACATTAAACTATTATGTCAAGCAGTAAATGTGCTCTCCTGCAGGAATTGAATCTGCATCCTCTTTGTAAGAGAAACCATTTAATCTGATGTGCTTTACAACTGGCTACAAAGGGTGTTACAATACAGAAAGTATCTATTTTCCCTTTAAAGGAAAGCATGCCTTCTGCACTAAGATATTTTTCTTAAAAGCCCCATATCTGAAACATAAGCAAAGCAATTTCTAAAGAATTCATGGATTTATTTTTGACCAAACATTTATTACTTCAAACATTATTTACTGAATACTCATATTTGAAATAGATACCCTATTTTTATTTACTTTAAACTATCAGCCTGCACTCAAAAAATGTAGTTGTCTCTCTCTCCCTCAGCTTAAACATAAAAACAAGATATGCATATTTTTTTTATATAAAGAGTTTATTTCTTTTCTGCAGTTCAATCACAGTATTATGTCCATGAGTTTTAAGCTGTACTGCAAATTGTCATTCATCAGGAAGGTTGTTGCAAGACTGAAAAAGAAAAAGATTTCACTAGTAAAACCTTTTTTTTAATAGAAATAGATATAAAATAAGATATAAATTCATGATACAGGTTAAATATGAACAGTACCTTACTTATGAAATTCAGTAACCCACAAGATTATGTGTGTGTGTGTATTGAAAGAGGAAGGTAAATAGCAAAGTAAAATTCAAATCTGAAATAGGCTGTCATGGTTACAAGTAGCAGATTTATGAAAAGGTTATTAACTTAACCAAGGGATTAAATCCAACTGATTAAATAA